AACTAATTTAAAATTTGCACCCAAAATCAGACAGGGTGATTTAGGAGCTGCAGGTAAATGTACAATATGTACAAGTTTAAAAGAAGGAATGAATTTTTGTAGTGATGATAGGGTCTGACCACAAAAAGGGGGTGCTTGGTTTGATGCACAGCATCTCCCTGCTAAGGGCCCATAATGGATAGTGACCACACCCTGACAGGGAACCGAACCCCAATCTGGTGTATCAAATACACTGGTGCTAACCACCGAGCTATCCAGCAGCTGGAGAAGCACACATTTAGAATGTTTTCTGGTTTCAGTTTCTCACATCATTGTCACACAAGGCTGAGACTGCAGAGAATTGTAAATGCACTACCATGTGGAGACAGAAATGGCATGCCATTGTGTAAATAAGATAAATAAAATAAGGCTATTTAGTTTGTTTAATAAAAGAACAAGACATAGACCTGTTCTATAGGAAAGGTAACCTTAAATGACTTCTGTTGTGATCTGGCGCTATATAGAAAATAAAATTAAATAAAATTAACTTGACCCTCAAAGGGGGGCAGGGGCACCCCCCTAATATAATGGTAGGGGAAACACTGCTCTCCTATTATGCTGATTTGGACGGTGAGTAACTGAATCATACACTTCAGTGCCAACATTTTGGAAAGTTTGACAAATAATCTCCCTGTCTGATGTGAAAATTAGTAGCCAGTTTCACATATAGTACTTTAAGTGACTTACTTTTCAGTTTTCTTGACAAAGATTCCCTCAAATTAAAAGAACCCACATCAACTGCCCAAACTCCTCCTTGGCCCTTTCATTTTGTCATCCTTTGAATACAATCACACTATACGGTTATCTGAGCACCAACCATCTGTTAAAAACAGACCACACACTTACAATACTGTAAATCATTGAACAATTCATCGGAGATCTGCATATGTGCTCTGCCAGTTGCACCTCACAATACTTATTTTTGGCTGTGAGCTATTTTGTTAAAATAACTTCTGACACCTTCTCAGTTTTGATGTTCTAGCCTCATCTTTACATGTGTGGATACTGTTACACCCTGGCCAGTGACAAGTAAAACTAAGAGATAAAATGCACTCTGGCATTCTTCCTTCACCATGAGTAAACCTTACCTCATCTAAAATGACTTGAAAAAGTGCACATCTGTTACAAGTTATCGTAGCATGAATTATGCACTCAAAAAAGAAAACAATACAGTAACATAAACGCTTGAATGCTTTGAGTATAAAACAGAATTTCTACTTGGCAGACACTTGTAGTAATTCCTAATAGAACTTAGAAAGCCCAGGTGTAGTCACTGAACTCCCCCAGTGAGTCCATGTACAGTATTTGTCTGAAGGATTTAGGATTATTTTTTTGTCTACTGCTCAGGAATGACTGGCCAGGTTTGAACATATACTTTATTCTACTTTGATGTGGGTTTTAGACCTTTAGTCAAAGGTTTTACCGAACTACAGGAGCATCTCAATAAATTAGAATATCGTGGAAAAGTCCATTTATTTCAGTAATTCAATTCAAATAGTGAAACTTGTGTATTATATAAATTCAGTACACACAGACTGAAGTAGTTTAAGTCTTGGGTCTTTTAATTGTGATGATTTTGGCCCACATTTAACAAAAACCCACCAATTCACTATCTCAATAAATTAGAATACCTCATAAGACCAATAAAAATCATTTTTAGTGAATTGCTGGCCTTCTGGAAAGTATGTTCTTTTACTGTATATGTGCTCAATACTTGGTAGGGGCTCCTTTTGCTTTAATTACTGCCTCAATTCGGCGTGGCATGTAGGTGATCAGTCTGTGGCACTGCTAAGGTGGTATGGAAGCCCAGGATTCTTTGACCTTGGCCTTAAGCTCATCTGCATTATTTTGTTTCTCATTTCTCATTTTCCTCTTGACAATACCCCATAGATTCTCTATGGGGTTCAGGTCTGGTGAGTTTTCCGGCCAGTCAAGCACACCAACACCATGGCCATTTAACCAACTTTTGGTGCTTTTGGCAGTGTGGGCAGTCACCCAATCCTTCTGGAAAATGAATTCAGCATCTCCAAAAAGCTGGTCAGCAGAAGGAAGCATGAAGTGCTCTAAAATTTCTTGGTAAACGGGTGCAGTGACTGTGGTTTTCAAAAAACACAGTGGACTAACACCAGCAGATGACATTGCACCCCAAACCATCACAGACTGTGGAAACTTAACAC